GGACTCTTATTTAAGTTGGATGCATTAAAGGAAATAGTTCACTTTTTAACATGGGTTTTGAACTGGAATAGCAGTTCCGTAGCTTGGGCTGAGACGAGCATAAATCAGGAGCTTTTACAGCCCAACGATCACCCTAGGCAAAGATATTCTATTTCTCGTCCCGAAAAAGGTGTCTTGCGTTGAGGATGTGTGCCTTGCATATATTTCCATCCAGTATGAAAAGAGCATGGGTCCCGAAAATTATTCAGAAACTAGAGAAATTATCTACGAGAACTCTAGAGAAATTCTCGTACTGATCAATTAGGACATTCAGGGGAACATTATCAGATCGAGCAGATCGCCCAAATGCCGGTGGCTGCGATAATTTCTCTGTTTCTGAAGAATTTTCGGGACCCATGCTCTTTTCATACTGGATCGCGTGTGCCTTACAGAAACTGAAAAGTTCTTCCTATATCAAAATATAGAAAAAAAATCTTTTGTTATAAAAAGGTTTTATTTTCTTTGCTGATTATTTTGAACATAAAAAATAATAAATCGTTGCAAAAAAAAATAATTTCGTGAAAGTGAACTATTTCCTTTAAGCATTTGGGCCCTGAATAATTCAAAGCATAGCTTCAAATTATAACTGCAAGCGAACGTCGTTAACTACTTCCGTGCTGATTACTGAAGCTGACCCACTCCGTTACGATACAACTCCCGACCCAGTGTTCGCCGCCACCCCGCCGCTGTGTGTTCTGAACGAGGCGTGCTGCGGCGCCGCACCCTCCACCTCAGACTGGTGCACGACGTGGCGCCCGGTGAGCCGACCGCGCCGGAGAGCTCCAGCGAGGGCGACTCGGCCGGCGAGGAGACCTCCGAGGAGACGCGAGCCCTGCACTCGGGCCGCTGGGAGCCCTCCGGCTGGGCGTCCGCCCACGAGCCGACCGACGCAGACCAACACCGGCAGCCGCAGAGGCGACGACGACTCCCCGAGATTCCCAAAAGTAAAAGACGTAAGTGTGTTATGAGGTCCGCTGGGGCCGCCATCGATCCGGTCGGTGGGCGCTGGCTCCAACCGGGATGCTTGGTAAGTTGGTAGTGGTCATTGTCCGGGGGATCGTTGGCGTATGGTGAGGTCAGTGTTGTTTATTGTTTTGTGTGTTCGGTGTATCGGGTCGGGATTCGATATTCCGTATAATGCCGCTCGGAGTCATAGTTAGTCGTCGTAGTCGCTTAATTTTCCGTTTTGAGTCAGGGGTGGAGCTTCCTATTCACTTGGTGGGGCGCCTGCCCCACCAACTTGCCATTTTGCCCCACCAATAAGCGTTTTGCCCCACCAACTTAAAGGGACCCTCCCACCTTAACATTAGATTTGAGTTGAGATAGCCAAAATGGGGTCCCTGGCTCACAATTACCGGTTTCGGCACTCACAACATCGAGAAATGCCTTAAATCGGAAATATTGAATTTCAAAATTGCAGCATTTTGATTCAGAGGGGCTAATGCTTAGGAATACCCCTCTGAATGTGTGACGTCAGCGCAAATATCTAACGATTTTTAAATGTTTGACTAAAACGTTCTGTAGCACGCGGTGGTATATGCTATTTGCGCGCAACATCTGCCGCAAACGCCGCACTTCTAAAATAAAGTCGCTAGAAACAGCGGAGATCCCAAAAAAGTAAACAAAAGTAAAAGTATAATATCTTGGAAACCGGTGAATATTTTTTCGGTGAAATTTGGTAGATATTCGTTTTCGCTCTCTCTGAACCGAGCGACATCACTTTCATGCCAATTCATTAACTTTTTTGAAGGTGGGAGGGTCCCTTTAAGCCGATTTGCAGGACTATACTGCTTAGCAAACCTATGTTTTTCGCATTGAGGAGCTTTGAAATGTCTGTGTAATGCAAAATATTATGTCTGTAATGAAAAGAATTGATTCATTGTTGAATTTTATCTAACTTAACAATCGGACATTGTAGGTTTGACAACTTTTTGCCCCACCAACTTTCCTGGAAAAGCTCCACCCATGTTTTGAGTATGAGAGACCTCGAAGTGTTTAAAAAAATATTTAACACACTTCTAAGTTGGCCTGGCTGATTTGGATGGTCTCAGGCGGTCGATCGGTTGTGTCAGATGACATTTAAGCTACGTCTAATGCTATTCCTACGCTATGCTTGTCTAGGCGTATCGTCTATCTGGATCAAACTGGGCTTAGCCCAGTTTATGTTTTAGGGCCTTGGCTTAGCCGAACCGTGAACGATAATCTGAACAGCTGAACAGCTGGGCTTAGCCTTTAATTTTAGCCTTTTCACACCGGTAAAGTATGTTCACAATAAATATATTTACATAGGTATGTATATACACTGGTGAATGCGATTAGCAGCATAACTTTATTTACTTTATTTATTTTGGCTATAAGGAAGCCGTTCTGTGAGATCACACAAGCTTCATGGAAGGCATACATAAATCACAAATGCCACGCGGACGTGGCTTTTACCTCTCTCTGGATTCGACAAAAGTCGTTCTTACTCATACTCGAAAGCCGAGAATGCTATTCATAAGTAGTGTGCGAGAAACATGTCGATGGCTCCGGCCCCCTCAAATGAACTGATTTTTGACCCACCAGCTTCACGTCCTTCAAGCTTACATTTTTAGTGCACATCGCAGTAGTTCTGTACAGCCACGTGAAGGCAGCTGGAGTTTTCCGAAAATTAAGATCTGTAGTATGATATCATAAAGTCTTTCTTTTGATGGAATCAAAAGTAATATAAAGTTTAATGTTAGGCATGACACGACATTCATGTATTAAATTCAGACCGGTTTCGAATCACAAGATTCATCTTCAGTGACAAAATTGTGTATTCAGCGATTTACCGTGCCTTCAAAATAAGTTCAAACTACCTACTCATCGACAGTGAAGTAAAGTTTTTAACGTCCTTTTTCTGCAACAATGGTTTTCCAAAACAACTTGTAGAACGAACTGTCGGCGACTTCCTGAAGAAGCGCTTTGAGGAAATAAAAAGCTCTGTCACTGTCAACAAACTCGAGAAATACTTAGTGCTCCCATACTTTGGGGAACAGTCCATTAAAATGCAAAAAGAAGTTCTAGAAGTTCTCAGCAAGTTTTACCCATATTTGAACCCAAAAATAGTATTGCGTAACAGATTAACCATAGGATCTATGTTTCGCTACAAGGATAGACTGCCCAAGTCGAGCATCTCTGGTGTGGTTTACAAATATAGTTGCGCCTCATGCCAGGCGTCATACGTTGGCTCCACTTACCAACGCTTGTACACCAGAGTAGCTCAGCACTTAGGCAAGTCACATCGTACAGGTCAACTACTGTCATCTCCCTCAGCATCATCCATCAGAGACCATGCCTTGTCATGTCAATCATCACTAGGGATAGACGACTTTCAAATTTTGAGTAGAAGCAGTACATTCCCTGATTTAAGAATTCTGGAATCGTTGTATATTCATCGTCTGAGGCCGCAAATCAACGACATGTCCTCGGCGTATCCACTACGTATCACTGCTTAACTGTGTACTTTTATGTAGCTGTTTCGTTGTGTACGTCATTGTACTTTTAATTGCATTAGGCAGTTTTCTAATTCGAAGCTGAACTCGAACTATTGCATGTGCGTGTGCGATATATTTTATGATCAAAAGTGTGTTTGAATATGTGTCCTGTATCAATTTGAAAAGAGTTTTGTCACTGAAGATGAATCTTGTGATTCGAAACCGGTCTGAATTTAATACATGAATGTCGTGTCATGCCTAACATTAAACTTTAAGATCTGTAGGGTCTGGGGTTTCTCAATAACGTTTATATGATTGACCAACTTATATTCAAAAGCTGCTTATAGGCATTTATTTGTCGAATAGTTTATGATTTCTTGAAGCATAATTATGAAAAATATATCACGAAGGCTTGGGGGCGTAAATGTCACGTGTGGCCGGGACGAGCTTGCGTCGCCCGTCGGGTCCCTGAGCCGAGCCGACGAGGCGGCCCGCCCGCTGCTGCCGCCGCGCCGCCGGGTAATAGCCCTGCGGGTCAGTCTACTGCCCAGGGTCGCAGTTAGCCAGCGGTAGTTCGGCGGCCGGTCGGCCACGGGGCAAGGACTGGCTGACAGAGCGGGGGTTTGAAGCATGACCATGGATTACCTACTACCTGGATCGGCAACTCCGCGGAATTCCCATTGTATTGCGCGACCGCCCGAAAGTGCTGCCTGCCACCTATCGAGCAGACTGATCCCTGCTAAGGACAGCCCGCCGCCGCCGCCCAGTCAGGCAGCGGCCAATACCAGCAAAGTCCGAAAATGACCGGCAAGTTACATGGCCTGAACCAGCCGCGGCTAAGTTTGGCATAGGCCAACAGTGTCGGGTTCCGGAAGAGCGGTCCAGGGCGGTTCCATAGACTATGTATCGTTTTGGAAAGAATGGTGTGGTGGGTCGTTTACCGAGCGCGACTGGCCGATTTTACCTCAGCACGTCGTATTGTTAGCTCTCATGGCCAGGCCAGGCGCCTTCTGCCAGCTGCCTGAAAATACCTTCGATCAAACGACTTTGTCTTATCACTCGGGTTGCCCCTGATCAGCTTGAGCATTCCAACTCAGTCGTCGGTAGACCGCAGAGGAAATGTGCCGTCCGCCGTGAAACATCCAAATCATTGCTACAGCCATTTTGACTGACTTATAAAGATCAAGACAAATGCTGTCATATCGATTAACGAATATCTGCACCACTGACAATTTCTATCAAGAAGCATTCCAGGATTATAAGCTTACCATACACCGTTTCGTTAAAAAACTGTTTCCATATTGAACTTCTATTTGCCGTCGCATGAGCGAATTGCCTACTGAGTACAGGCTGAAACCGATTCTTTCCGCAGTCAGAAATCATGTGCGAGACCGAGAGCCTATTCAAATAAACCCCGGTCGCACTCGCATCCATAACACGCACCTCCTTGCGTGCGATTGATGCTATTGCAACTTAATGGATTTGGATAGGTTCTCGTGTGCGATTTCCTGACTGTGGAAATAGTCTGTCTCGGCCTGAAGTTCAGAATTTAACACAGGTTCAATGACAACTAAGGTGAACGATGACACACAATGTATACAATGCATATTATTGCATAGACTGATAGGTAGGTTTCGAGAAACGACGTGCCACATGCCTACTAAACGGTGTCGTAGCACCAAGCTGGTTTCCAATTCACACCTACCACCAGAGTATATCGGGAATAAATGCAAACACGATGCACACGAACGCATTATCCGCTCAATGGGTATGCCCGTAGTGGGTATGTTAGTCAGTTACAAACGCTGTAATACCTTAAACATTTTCGGCCGAGCCAGTTCACAGTTCACACCCCGGCTGCCTGCTGCCGTCACGTCACACGTGTCCGCAGTGGGCGTGCACCTGCGAGTGCGTGCATCATAATTCACATCACAAATCACAGGATGCCAATTCAAGTCAGCACACCGTGGAAACTGAACCCATCTCTTTGATCTGAAACGAAGAGTGAGAGAGGGAAATTAGATACCTGAGCATACCGTAATGAAATGGAGAGTGAGGGCATTCCAAGGCAAACTGTTTCCCCACAACATCACAAAAAGTATTTTACATTGCGATGATGTTGGCAAAAAATAAAATAAATAATACCTTGACAAGATACTCCCAAACAAAAGTACCCAAAAGCTTAACACCTTATCTGCTAGGCTTACATAGTTTAAAATGGCTTTATCTTACTTAAATCTATCTGCTATCTACACACAGTTTGGCTAGCACTCGTTCTAAAAAGGTGATTGTTATATATCATTCAATAGAGGGAAACTCACAAACTTCTTCGTACTACTCTGGACCTTTTGGCTTTGAGAAAAGAAGGAAGCTGATGTCAGGGACCAGGGTCGGCACTCTTTTGTCATTTGTGGTTGACAATGGCACTGGCTGCCATTAGGCTTTCTTTTTACTGTCAAATGGTTCAGTTTTTCAGGCTGAGAACATGATTTATTTATCATTCAACTATTTATGAAATCAGGACATTGGCAAGCAGGTTATAAAAATTAGCTGAAATGACATGATGCCAGTCAACTGCTCCTGAAGTGTGTTGCACTCTAGTCAGCCGTTCAGAGAAATACGTAGGAAACTGATATGGGTGAGCAGTGAGTCTGAACAGTGAGCAGTTGACCAATTTATAGGTAGTTATTGGCACTACACAATATAAAACAGAAACCATTTTCAATAGTTGAACAAATATTGAGTTAAAAAATAATGGCACACTAACTGATTTTGCTAAACTAAAAACTTAACAAAAACTTAAGCAATTCACAACTAACAATGCATCATCCACCACCTATGCGCTGCCAAGACCGAAATTGTATCACAAGCAAAACCATGGCTATATCAGCGGCATGTATAAGCTTGAGATATGATGTGTCAAACATATAACAAACATATAAAAACATAAAATTAAACATATAAATAAGTGATTAACCATTCAATTACGGAAATTATACGATTTTTAACGACATATGGCGAGAAGCAATGTGCGCCAGTATCGTCAACAGCCGCTCTTTACAGTCATATTTTAGGCCACTCAGACCCTCCAACCACAAAAAAACCTTACCAATCTTACCTTGCCATCTTCCTCCATCTTCTGAAACCTTCCAATCTGCTCCAAAGGGGCTTAACTTTTCAAAAAACAAGGCAAACGATCCTACGACGCGACGCCGACCATTGTTTTGAATAGCACCCGCTCCCCCGCGTCCTTAGCGCTCGACACCACTGCCACCTAGCGGTGGTCACAAACATCGAGGAGTTGCCGATCCAGGTACTACTTCATCCATGGCATGACTATGAATGGTGACCACATGTTTTATTATAGCAGAAGCATCGACAAAAATATAAACTGATGGTTTCGTGTTTGACTTTAATTATAACTGAGAACGTCTGTCGCAGCCCGTCTATTGAGCCGCCTGTCTGAACTATCTGTCGGAGCCCGTCTTTCCAATCCCCTTTGTCTGAGCTCATCTGCCTGACCCATCCATCAGAGTCCATCTGTCTGAGTTTGTCTGTCTGGGCCCTGTTTCAAGGCACGCTGCCAGCCGCTGCCAGCGCATCTCGCGAGCTGACGTCACACTTATGTAATGGTAGTGTTGAAGCAATGGGCTTGTTTATGTCTCCATGGAAACCCGGATTGCCACGTGTGCTGGCAGCGGCTGGCAGCGTGCCGTTGAAACACCGCCCTGATTTCGTCCGGTCTGAACCGTTGAGACTTGAATTCCGGTTGTCTGAGCTCGTCGGTCTGGTTTCGTCTATCCAACCTGTCTGTTTGAGTCCCTCGGCCCAATATCGTCTTCCCAAGCCCGCCTACCAAATGTCGTCTATCTGCTGCCAGCCCTGTCCCGTCACCTGCGACTGGTCTCACATCTGAGTCTGGCCTCGGAGCTGGGTATACTGGAAGCGGGCGACGATGGCCGCCCCGCTCAGCCCGTCTACGTCATGAAGTGCTCACACCTGTCCAAAGGTAAGAGAGCCGATCTCGCCGGAAAACTATTCTGGCCGCCAGGGTGTATGAATATGCAACCAATCCAATCTGCGTCATGGCCATGGGATAAATTAGAAGTTTTGTGGACGAGAGCACAGGCTTATTTTCTGATTGAAAGGGCACATTACGGATAGTGATATGGGGAAATATGTATAAGCCTGTACCCGCCGCGGTCTAGTTCTAAAAAAAGTTGCGGTGGCCCAACGCTCTCTTCTCTCGGTCCATAAGCTTTTATACGATTTATCCATTTCCATAAACGGAGACCGTTATCAAAATGCCGAAAAGCCACTATGTACAGTTTGGCCTTGGTAAAGGGATATCGTCATTCCACGCATTGGGCTCCTGGGGCCTGGGCCAAATTAGACCAGTTAGTGCGTTTTAGCGGATTCGTGGTGTGTCAATGAATTGCCTCCGGGGAGGAAATGAGCCCTCAGAATGGGTGAGCTCAGTGCTCTATCTCGCATATCGACTGGATATCTTGCTCCCCGTTATCGGCCCCTGTAGGGAGTAATTAGTACGGGTACCGTGTATGGATTATGGCCCGAGCTGTTCTCTGTTGCGTCACCAGACGGGGACAGCTCTCCCGACTCGGACGTCCTGCACACGTGTACCGACGGCGACTCTGGCAACTCGACGGCCCACTCGCCCGACAACTGCTGCCGGGCGCGGCAGCGGAACGCGTCAGGTGAGTCTCTAAACGCATCGCCGCTTCCTCTCCTCGGTACTTCGCCACTCAGAGACTCTCATTGGGTAACTGCTGCCGGGCGCGGCAGCGAAACGCGTGAGGTAGGTTTCTAAGCTCAGCAGTCAGCGTCCCTCCCTCATCCCATTTCAGTGCCATGCCACCCTGATATTCTCGTCAGATGCATGCCAGGTGCAGAGCGTGGTAGCGAAACACGTCGGGTACGCAGTCGCGGTATCATCTCTCTCCCCGGTTCATGATCTCCAGTCTCCACCTGCTATGCTCGCATACGAACTGGTCGTGTCTGGCCACTGGCGATTTGAGTCCCGAAACTGTCTATATAAAAATTTAAATGTGTGGTTTACCAATACGATTGCACATTTATGGCACAACGAAAGACAATGAAGCAACTTTTTTGCAGGGGTGATGTCTCCAGTATCGCCCAGTGCGGCGCTCTGCACAAAACTGGAACTTCTGGAGGCAACGCACCGGGGCCTCTACAAGTTCGAGCCGAGACACCACGACGAGATCACCATAGACATCGGCGACCCGGTCTATCTGATCAAAGAGGCCGACGACTTGTGGTGCACAGGTAATGGTTGACTTAGGTTCACATAAACATATATATCATTGTTAATGGACATGTTATACCTAAACAGGCTTCGCTTTTTATCCACCACGCTTCCATAATGCACTTTCTTATGCTACCATGAACCGTTTAAAAGCTCCGACCAGAAAACGTATCAACGATGTTTGTAGGTAGCTTCCTATCTCTTTAATTCAGTCATGCTTATATTCACAGACACCATAAAGCACTTTCTTTTGGTTCCGTGAACCGTTTTAAAGCTCGGCCCAGAAACGTATCAACGATGTTTGTAGGTAGCTTCTTACCTCTTTAATTCAGTGATGCTTATATTCACAGACAAACAATTTTTATGTCGTATGAACTTTTAATGCGGAAAATAGGAATGCCTGCAAAATATTTGTTTAGCGACTACGAACTGCTGAATACAGCGTTTAGCCAATAGTTTCGGACTACTGTGCTGAGTGCTGACCCGCTAACGCCTGGCCGGCTCTCCAGGCGTGAACCTGCGCACGGGGCTGCGCGGCGTGTTCCCGTCCGCCTACGTCACAGACGTCGACTACGCCGACTTTGACCCGTCGGCGCCACCGGTCAGAAAGGAGCGGTACCTGCTCGGCTACCTGGGCTCGGTGGAGGCGCGCAAACACAAGGGCATCGAGGTGATCACGCAGGCGGTGCAGAAGGTGATCGGAGACGTACGCGCGGCGCCCGACCCGGCTGACGCCGCCTTCGCCTACCCGTGCATCCTGGAGATCTCCGACCAGGGCGTGCGCATGATCGACAAGAGCAAGCCGGCGGTGAGTGCACGCGGAAACGTTACGTGCAACTTTACTAATATGCTTTTGCTGTTGAGACACCGTTCAAAACATTCAAAGGCATATTTAGTTACGTCTTACGTGCAGCAAGTGCCAGGACCCCGCATATTATATCGGATAGCCCCTCTACATGCCCCAGACGAGTGACACGGAAAGTGTTATAATGGTCATACCATATGTCATCATATTCTTTGGTTAATTTGTCGGAAAACGATATAACGATATATTCGAACGATATAATCGATGCCGCCCGTATCATGCCAAGCATAATGTAAAAATTAATAATTGTCTGTTTCAGCCCAACCATGTGCTTTGTCACGACTACTTTTATGAAATCAAGAATGTGTCTTTCTGCGGATTCCACCCACAAAACCGGAAGTATTTCGGCTTTGTGACCAAGCACCCACAGGATCTGAAGTTCGCCTGTCACGTTTTCGTCTCAGAAGAGTCGACCAGGCCCGTGGCAGAGGCTGTCGGGTAAGAATTAGCCACTGACATGGACACTCGACTTGGAATTGAACGTCAACGATTCTCTCAAATGTGGGGACGGGCAATAACTAGGTGCGTTTCCAGATGGTCGGAAGTGACTTGGAATTGCACCTCGGTTGAACCATTTCAGACTGCTGATTGTTACATGTCCCCGCGATCCACTTGACGCTAATATCCGGTCTCTTTTGTGTTTCAGACGTGCTTTCCAGCGGTTTTATCAAAAATACCTTGAAGCGGCTTACCCCATCGAGGAGATATTCATGGACTTCTAACGAGTGATAAAAGTCGGTACGTGCAGGAGTCTGAGCGGCAACGTTGTGACGCGGACAATGAGCCGGTGGGTGATATGGGTACGCTTCGTCGGCCGGCAGTCAATGGAAACAGCTGTCTGCAGTGTTGCTGCTGTCGTCGCTTTCAGTCTGAGCACGAGGTAGTAGCCCGCCGACCTAAGTGTGCCGCCTACGAGTCGCACATTGCGGCCTGCGTGAAGCGAATGGGGTGAGGTGGGGCATATGCATCAATCGTTGCAATCAAGGTGTTATGGGAAAGTCGGTGAAGGGGCGACCGCCCTGGGGTATGTTTCGTGGGTTGAGCGCACCGTTCCTGTGTTGTGATTTGATATCGAGCCGAGAGGGCTCCGTGGGGTGAGGGTAGGGGTGGGGGACTGGGGGGAGGGTCGGGTCCGGGGGATCGGTCACAGACCGTCGGCCGGCGGTGCTGGAAGCCCTCTCGGTCGGACCGGCGGCCCCTGCTGAGGGTGCAGCAGCCAGTGAGTGGGCGGCGGCACGCACCTCCGGTCCCAGTGCCAAACCGGCCGGTCCTGTCAGAGCGCCGCGGGCCGCTCAGCGGCGCACCGCGACAGTCAGTGATGCTCTCCGTACTTACACTTACTGCACGGGGAATGGTTCACCATCCAGGCAATAACTATTGTTAGCATTCAAAGCATCTGACACTATGTGGATTTTAGTTTCGTCATGAATATGTCAAAGTTAACAGGCTTTTGTACTTCACCTACACAATATTAGGGGAGAACGGGGCGATTTGGCCGCCCTTTTGTAAAAACGATATTTTGAGAAAACCAGTGTGCGTTTGGTCGATTTCTCCATGGAGGGGTGTGGGGCGTTCAATTGTTGTTCCGGCATATTACTTGCATCATGCCGGGACATCTCGTTTCGGTAGTAATTAACCGTTCTTTCAAAGACTGCACGGCGGCCAAATGACCCCGGTACCGGGGTCATTTGGCCGGGGGAGTGGGGTCATTTGGCCGGGCATGAGATTCAGAGATATACCCATTACAGAGCTGAGACAACCTGAAATATTGACGCCCAAGATTGTGCTTAACTCATGAATTCTGGATTGACTCGACGCATGACTGATGTGACGATCCAGATGCCCCAATGCTGACACAAATGATGAGCATCGTGACTCATCTTTGATTCACCTGAAATCAAATTTTTCAGGAGACTAGGCTTACACTCGATTCATTTGAATCAGTGCAAGTGAGGATCCACATTTGATTTACGAACTTACGACTCATGAGTTGAGCACTGCCCAGTGATAACAACAGCCAACTGTAATGGCTGCCAAATCGTAGATTGCTTTAGACGACAATCACACTGCAAAAAAGTCCTTTGTGTACGAGTTGTTTGTTTATTTCAAACTCTGTCGTAAACATGAAATAAAAACGATTCCAGCAGGCCCCGTCTTCGACCCAGCACTTAAACACATCCACTGTAAAATACGGTCCCAACGGCATGGATGTCCAGTCATCACTGCGCTTCACTGTTTTTCACCTTTGCGCCCCTGTTTCTTCGACGGTCCAGCTCCCGACGTTCGATGGTTCGACGTCCAGCTCCCGAAGT